CAACATATCCGCAATATCAAGATAAAAAGCAACAGCATTAAACGTCCTCGTCTGCCCCATCCACACCTTACGCAACGTCCACTTGAGCCGATTCGACCAATTAATCAAATCCAGATGGCTCACATCCAGCAGCGTACCCTGATACTTCCCCCACCGACTACTCGCAACACTCACCAACCCATCGTTCGCGCCCTCAGCCTCCTCGATAACCCAATGACTCTGTCGAAACGGACTCAGCAGCGGCGGCCGATCCGTGCACGCGCCGTAACTAAAATACCGCACCTCATCGCTATCCGGCGTTGCAGGGTTAAACTTCTCCTCCATGTACCGCTGCGTAAGCTGCTCAAAAGCCTGCGTGCCCAGCCCGGCACGCTCAATAAGCCCGTACAGATTCGCGAGCTTAATGGGGCCCTGACCGTCCAACAAATAATCCGCAAAGGCACTCCCGCGGTGCGGCGTCGCGACGGTGACGAGGCTAAGCACTTTTACGTCGCGCGGCTTGAGGTGGGAGATCATGTAGCGGGCGTCGAGCCCGCCCATGGAGTGCGCGACGATGTTGACGGCGCGGCCGCCGGCTTTGGCGGCGATGTCGGCGCCCAGTTTCGCGGCGCGCTCTTCGATGGAGCCCGAGGGCGGGACGGAGGTGGTGATGATGTTGGAGGGACCGGAGAGGGTGCTCAACGAGTCGGAGATGCCGCGCCAGTAGTGGATGGGCGGAACGTAGGCGCCGAGGCGCAGTTCGGAGAAGCCCATCAGTCCGTGGGCGAGGACGATGGGGTTCTTTGGCGTGTCTGGCGGGCGTGTAAGTGTGGGTGGATCATTGTGGGTGGACCGAGGCGGAAGGGAGAGAGAGGAGGAGGGGGTAAAAGCAGGAAGACTCGAAAAGGTGCTAGGAGGACAGTATCCTAGAAAGGGCAAACCAAGAGAAAGGGGAAAGAGTCGGATCGGATAAGAAGAGAAGAGGGGGGTAAAATGGTACCATAGTGTTCTCTAACGACGGCATACTCGTCCGATATCTGTTTGCCCAGGTCTCTGAACCTCGGGTCACCGTCGTGCTTCGGCCGCAAGTGCGAGACGGAGAAAGGACGGCTGTCTCGGGCTGCAAGAGGGCGAAGCAAGCGATGAGACGCGGTTGGCGCACAAATCAGCCGGGAGGAGGGCGCGCAAGGGCGGCACCTCATGAGGCATGCGCTGTTCATGGCATGGAAGGAAGAGCGCAAGCCGCCGCGGGCGCGGGGTGGTGGGGAGAATAGAGAGAGAGAGAGAATCTGGCAAGTCGGATGGTCTCAAGTCTCTTGATGTGGGTTGGATGTATGTACCCTCTGTTCGCCTCAGTTGGTTGGTTAGCTCCCCCTCTTTTCTGTACCGGTTTGTTTGCTTTGCTTGTTATTCTCGAGGATGTGAATGGCCTGGCTTGGTTCCGGTCCCTCGACGTCTCTGTTTACTTTACAAGGTTTGTAATGGAGTGTGGAACGAAGATGCTTGCTCTGCAATCCAACGTCTGCATACGGAATATGTGTGTGTGCTGCGGAAAGGAAGGAAGGAAGAAACGCGCATTTCTGAGCAATGAGAGGTGTTTGCCAAGCATGTTTAAGCGCCCGGCTCTTTGACGTCACGCAGGACCGCGGCCGCGAACAGTTTAGCGCGACAGCGGGGGGGGGGGGTGTCTCTCGGCCGGAGGGTCCACCGTATGCTGGAAGTACTCCGTACACTACCTACAGTGGAGCTTTTGGGGGCCTGGCGTGCGGCTTGCGGCTTGCCCTGGGCTGCGGCCGCTAGTGATTAGTGGACGGATGTCTCCCGCACAATCCACCACTTGGTCAGAGCTTCTTTCTTGCACTTCTTCCTCCTTCATCCTTGTCTCTCACTCTCTACCCTCTGTGCGATCTGCGCCCTTGTTGACCGGGGGTGGTTGGGATGGTGCCTAGACATAGTCCATGGGTACATCATGTTGTTGTCGCTGTTGGTGTTGGTCTTTTTGCTTAGCTTCGCATGCCTGCAGCACTGCAGATTGCCAGATGCTGCCCTGAAGTTTGCCAATCCTGTTCTGCCTTCGGGTGCCGGTCCCGCTCCTTGTCCTTGATCAGAGTTCAGACTTTCCCGTCCCAGGTTCCCCGTCACTCCAACTGCCAAAACCAACGCCCACCGGCCGTTGGTTCATCTCCTTGCTGTCGTCTTCCGCCGCCATCTTCGAGGGTATCTTGGTGTGAGGGCGGCCGCATCATGCAGCCTGCAGTTGCCTGCTGTGCGGTGCGGGCGTGCGCACACAGTTTGTTGCACTGCACCTGCCATGGCAGCCCATGGCAGGAGAAACAAATCTCGGGTACGTCGGCCATGATTCATCGGCTCCTGGCGATCTGCCCTCTTATTTTCCTCCATGTTCATCTTCACTCTCTCTTCCCTCACTGCATGGAGATCATCGATGCTACCGTTGGTCGGCCACAGAACCAACACGCACAAGACAAGGAAGCAGTAAGTCAGGCTTCGACTGCGAACCCTGTCTAGGCCCCTCGAGCGTGTTTGCCCTTTCGCGAATGATATTCCATTATTGACTGTTTCCCCCGCTTCTGGGGCCACGTCTTGATTACCTGCCCCCAGCCCCCAACTCGTCCCCAAGCCCAAAGTGCAATGCGGCGTAGCAGCTCAAAGTTCAAAGGACTGGCCGTGAACCAATTTGTTCAACACCCTCCCGTGGCTATCCTGTAGTGCAGATGAGAGCAAAGGCTGCTTTCGCCATTGGATGGCGGCCCCCTGCTCACCGGCCATCGTAGACCAACATGGCCTCACTGAATGACCATCCAATGTAACCTCCTCATCTGCGCCGCCCGTGGGTAAACAGGCCGCAACCGCCAACCTTGCCTGCTTGATTCGTCCAGAGCTCATGCTGAAGAGGGCCCGGATCTGCAAACTTTCGACTGTTGCACCGTCGAACCGTTCCGCTGGGACGGCTTCGCCCTCTCACGCCCGCCATCCGCACCCACACCTGGTGTTTGTTTGCTTGCCTGCCTCGCTGGCTCGTTGGGAGGCGTCAGCGCCTTCTTCTTCCTTCACGGCAGTTGGGCATCTTGGAAAAGCCACTCAGCACTGCTTATCATTGTTCATCAGTCAAGTTGCGATTCGTCTTATAGGTACTCTCATCGCTGTGTTGTCAGTCACCGACTACTAGTACTCAAAAAGTTGCCTGGTTGAAGGTCGACTGAAGAAAGTTCTTGTTGGTACAACGTCTCTTCCGTAGTGGATGTATCCATAACGGATGAAACCGCGGAAGCTGATGGTGTGGCCGTTTGGATCGACCTCAGCCTGGTCCTGCGTGTACCTTACCTCCATCTCCGTCGGGCCGCTCGTCTTCATTGTCCACGGCTTCTGCTGTCCGCAATCATCCATATCCCAGCAGTCGCGATTATGCAGACCGGTTTGCTGGAATGCTTGACCCATTACGCACCTGGATTCTGCCGCGTGTATATAGCCCCAATGCCCGGCGCGCTTCTTCCTTTCCCGCTCCTTCTCTCGGCATGTCCAGCCACTCGATGGTCAAGCGACGCAGCGTTCACTGTCGCCTGTCAAGTGGAACGTGAGCACAATGACAGGCGACTGCGGAGACTCGTGCCCCTACCCGGGGGGCTTTACCTCCTACTCGCCTTCAGTAATTGGTAGTGCCATCTTTCTGGTAGCCTTTGCGCTGCTCGTGCCTCTGGCCTTGTACCAAGGCTTTCGTTTCAAGACGCCCCTATTCGCGTCGACTCTGGCAACCGGCCTTCTTCTCGAGGTCTTGGGCTTCGCTGGAAGACTGAGGCTCCGAAATGATACCGCCAGCGGGACCTCATTCTCCCTGTGGCTCATCGGCGCCATCTTGGGCCCAACTCTCATCGCAGCGGCCATATGCCAGATCCTTCCCCATGTCATCGCCCTCTACGGTCTTGGTATTGGCTTTACCCGTCCAAGAATCGCTGTCTTGTTTCTCATCTTCGCTCTTGCTCTTGTCATTGCGCTGGAAATTGCCGGGGTTGTCTCGGCTGTCTTTGGACTCGGCGGTGTGCAGGTATGGATTTTATGGTTTTACTGCCTAAAAGCTCCCATCTCTAACAAGCCTCAACAGACACCGTCGATTCTTCTTGCGGGCCTAGGCGTCCAGATTTTAGCGTTGCTGCTCTTCGTCGGACTGTTCCTCTGGTTCACCCAGAAGCTTCCTGACCCAAAGCATATTGCCGTGTACCAAGCACCGCGGTTTAAGAACTTTGTCAAGAGTAAGTAGACCCATTGCTGCAGAAACGTCATAATGGTCTGACAGTCTCTTCTCAGTGATACCAGCAGTCGCTGTCGTCTTGGTGGGGCACACCATCTATCGCCTCGTTGAGTTCTGGGACGGACTCAATAGCCCTCTTCAGCGGTCGGAAGCCGCATCTCTGGTCATCGGTGGCGCTCTGCCATTCCTCATCGCCTCGGTCTTATGCGTATACCATCCTGGCGCATCTTTCGGTCGGGCGTGGGGTCTGACGTCGCCGCGATATCGGTCTTTGTCTCTGAGATCGCGCCGCGGTGCTCCATCGCCTCTGCAGTCGCCTACTGCACCGTGGGACGACCACAAAGGACCCCGTCAGCCGGGATTCACTGCCACCCGGTTCCCGGACAAGAAGATGTCGCCCGTCGGAGTTGGCCCAGTTCCCTTGAGAGAGTCAACGATGGCAAGCAAGGTTTCCGGTAGCCCCGGCAATAGATCGGTCACTTACCCGAGCCCCATTGCGTCGACACACAAGTTGAGTCCCATCGGCTCACAACACAAAATGAGCCCAACCTTCCAGAGCACTCAGCAGCAGCCGACAAATTCCAATCGCTATAGTAACACCAAGCCCAATGCAAAGCCAATGGTGAATAGTGAAGAGCTGTGGTAGCCTGAAGTTGGTAAAGAGTAGCTCTTGATTCGTGGAATGGTATATCCTCTTTCATGCGGTAGCGTGGCGTTTGATATTTTTGGTGGCGAAGAATGCTATAACCTTTTGTCTTTTTTGTTACCAGGATACCATTCTCCTGTATATACCTTGGGCGGCTAGAGTTGATCTCAATATTCATATTTACCCATAGCCTCTGCATTTCGAGATGTAGATTGCTTGAGGTTACAAAGCAAAAGCACCCGTAGCTTTCCTCCAGAAGAAGTATGCCAAGCCAAAAGCTGCGCCTCCGAGGTGTCCGGCATGTCCCACTCCAGTGTCTCGCTCCATGCTCAGGCAGTAGGCGTCCACGGCAAACATTCCCAAGACAACAAGACGCAAGGGCAGAACCTGATTTGTTCCGGAAAGGCGGACTTTCATCGTGGGAAACATTAACGCCAGAGCTGTGCCGAGACCAGTCAAGGCTCCGCTTGCTCCAACAGCCGTCCTCTCGGTATTGTTCTTTGCTCCTCGTCCTCTCCTGGCATTGAAAATGTGGCAAAGACAAGCGGTGATTGCACTCCCAAGAGACAGCACGATGAACCGTAGTGGCGATATACTGAGTAAATAGAACGACTGGACATAAGTTTTGTATGTCGACATATTGACGAAGAGGTGTAAAGGCTGGATGTGACTGAAAGCCGAGGTAAAAAAGGTGAGGAGTCGGGGGTTACTTGAGCTGAGCATAAAGTATTTGTGAAGAAATGCTGAAAGACGCCTGCGGTCTATTGGGAGCGAAGAGAAAATGGGATGGAGCGCGGCCAGCCAGGCGAGATGGATGGCAATGTTGCTCACTGGAACTCCGTAGAAGAGGGCAGTCCAGAGTGGTCCAATATTGCCGGGTGCGAATCTTGCAGGATATCCAAGTACTGAGAGTGATGCCATGTTGAGGCTTTCTCCTATGACGACTAAAAAGTACTAGGAATAAGAGGTGACATCTAGAGGCATAGACCGTGAAGTGGCGCCGTTGGGTGACAAGATGAGACCCAATGCCTTGGACGAGCTCTCAGGGGTTTTGGGTTTGTACGAGCCAAGCTGGTGTTGATATCTCGATCTCTACGAACTTCAATCTCGGATTGCGTATGATATTTACTGAGGGAAAAGTATGTGTAGATTGTACAGAGTCTAGATGGCGTGACGTCGTCGTTTTCTGTCGAGATAGATTCGGAGGTTCGCAGTGCTCCGTTTTAGAAAGGAGCCGAAGTCGTCGTTGCATGGAATGTGCGTGTTGAAGAAGGATTGGTCCGTGCCTAAGATACGTGGTGTCCGACAGTGCTGATATTGAGCTCGGCACTGTCCCTCCATACTCAAGAATCCAAATGTTTAGTGTTCTTACTAACCATTTCTCAAATTCTTCATTCACGCTTTCACTACAGATGGCTCAGATACCTTAATTAGCCACTAGACTCTATTTTTCGTTATGCTGCTTGTGTACTCTCGCCCACTTTACCTGGTGTCAATGTATCTGGCTGCTTGCCAACTTGACCAGCGCCTTCCCCCTTCTCAAGATCCACCATCTCGACATCGCGAGGCTGGTCACCTACAGTCTCGACTTGCCCAGCGCCGCTTTCCAACGGCCGACTTCCTGCGCTCTCACTGCGCACGTATCCACTACTCCGCGACCACCTGTACAAAACGCTTTTTCTATTGGAAGCCGCCGTGGACGTCATCGTGTTTCGCTTGCTTGCGGCACCCGTGCTGTCCAACTGGCTGCGCATTCCGAGCATCAAAGTCACATGCCGGAGTAGAGGCTGCAGCGCCGGGAAGCAACCGACCCAAAAACCAACATGGAGCTCAGCGTCGGTCCACGCAGCTACGGTAAGCATCTTGTACGTCCTAGGCCGTGTCAGTATGGTGAAGGTGCTTGTCCGAGTCGCTCCTCGTTCTCCACAAGGAGTACTTACGTGTTGACGCCAAAGTCTGTCGTGACGATGATGGAAAATCGAACGATTCCAGTGACGACGGCAAAGATTCCCAGAGAAAAAACGAGCAAAATTTGTATGGCCTTGACGCCCATTTTGACGTAATTCGTCACGACACAAAGCGGAAGAACGACCAACATACAATCAACAAAGATGCAGATAATGGCATGGCCCAGCATCATTGATCGCTCTTCACGTTTGTCTCTACATTGGCGCCATGTGCTGGAATAATTGAAAACATCACTGAAGCAACGAGTCAGCCGGCCATCACCACGTCTCAGGAGAGGGTCCGTCTTACGGTATCTGCGAGCATTCCGTCAAGACGAAAAAGAATCCCGACAGACTGACTATGATCACAATAGCATTTAGAGCATATATGCTCCAGGTATACATCTCTGGCAATACAAATTAGCACACTATCTTGTCGAGGACTGGGAAGATCATACTGTGCTTGCTTAGGCGTGGAAGAAACGCTAATATGGACAGGCGTACTGCTCCGGAAGCGAGGAAGTAGACCAACTCCATGATGGAAAGCCTCTATTCGCAGCACGTTAGCTCTGTGGGGGAATTTTATTATGCGAATTAGCTGACCTTGAAGAACTGAAGCAGCGTCGGCCGGGGAACATCTTGAATCTGTGCCCCGGTGCCATAGTTGGTCGTGTCCATTTCAAGGGCCGAGAGTGTGACACACAAGGCCTGGTTCTCGTGTTAGTCCATGCAACTTACACGGGAAAGCGCCTTGACCTACCCAAGCTACTATTGCAAGGAAATCATCCCAGCCCAGAGCTCTTACTATCATCTTCCGTGTGAGCAGACGGAGAGAGACCAACAATGTCGAAACAATAATCAGAGCTAGGTTCAGATTGAATACATGGTGTCCACCCGAGTTGGGGTGGTACCGCAAGGATTGTCCGACTTCGACCATTTCAACAACAATGTCGTTGGATTTGAGTGCTTCGAAAGCTTCGAGATTCTTGCCATTCATGGAAGAGACCAAGATCATGTGCCGATTATCCGAGGCGGCCGATGGTTATAATGGAGTCATGGACCACATTCGCCAGCGTTGAGCCTATGCCAGACACGTGGGCTACGGAAACATCTACGTACGAGAAGACACTTGACGCCCAAGACACGCGCCAAGCCCTGTTGCGAACCATTCGTGGATTTTCTGCCGCCTCGAGTCTCTGTACAATTACATACTGGAGTCTAACGAGCATAAGACACCTCTCGAGGCGAAGTCCAGGCTGATGTAGATGCGTGGATGAGCCATGCCGGCCGCCGGAATCGCTCATCGCCGCTACATCTAGAGTTTACGCCTCGAATGCCGGTCTCAGAAGCTACTTCTTCGGCCGGAAAGGCGCTGGGTGGCCAGGGTGGTTCACGACGTGCTGAAAGATCTATGAATAGTGGCTTGAGTTGAAGCTGAAAGCTCGCAGTCACGGCAGTCATAGATGCCCAATCTCTGATGGATTCCTTCTCTTCGATGATGGTATTATGAGCAAGAATTGCTATTCTACCATCAGAGCAGCTTCCAGCTCTGTCGTTGTCGTCACGCAGATCACATCGCACAAGAATGATAGGTGCCGTCTATGTCCACATTCCGTTCCCGGATGCTTTCTTTCTTTCTTCTATCCTTCGATTCCCTTCGGTTTCCTTTCTCATCAAGAATAAGGGTTCCAGAACATCTGTGTAACGGTTGTGTTTCTTCAGCGATGACTGTGTATGATGCTTCTCGAAAGCTTGGCCTGGACCCCGACTTGACGAAAACGTCCAGATCCAAACCTTAATAGGAGCCTCAAGGATGTAAAGCATCGCCTTCCGGCTAGGTACAACCGAGCACTTCTCATCGAGGAAATAGTCTTTAGTTTCGCAGCGCGTTGAACGCTCACTGCCCACACATCGATCGGGCTGTGCTTACTCATACCCAAAACGACACAAGCATTCCTCGCCATTGCCGCGTCCAGGCCCTCCCTTCAAAGACATTTGCGATCGATTCAATTTAGCATGCCACCGAACGAGCCCGGCGCCCTCTCATCAATAAACTTGGCAGGAAACAGTAGTTCTTAGTAGTTCTTTCGTCAACGCAACCTCAGGGCACATAAGTAGGCAGAGGAGCCTGTCAGCGATCCAGACGAGTTCGGCACTCAGATGCCTGGCAATCTTCTCAATACTGCTCTCATTGTTCTTGCAATTCGATTTTCCTCACGGTTGGTCTTGGCATTCGACGCCTTTGACGAACGCGGCAATCGCTGATCCATACCAACACAAACGAGCGGCAGTCTTGGCCTAATTCCACATCCTGCGTCAATTGTTCCGCCGGCTCACGGAGAGAGGGGGCCAAGGGACTTTGAGAATTTCAAATCGAACGATTTACTTCATCACCTAAGTCCGAAGAGTCGTTCAAAGTATCGGGGTACTTGCAACAAATTCTGGAGGTAAGAAGTGGGAGATATTCTTTTCTTATTCACTTTCAGCTTACCCCGAGGCAAAGGTCCTACGTCAATCTCATCCCTTGCAACACCCTCAGCTGTGCCTACTAAGCTCTCAACGCTACACAGCAATTTTCCTTCTCCTTCTTTGAAATAAGGTAGAACGAATGCTTCAGTTCAAAGCTCGGGATCTGGGCATTCCAAAATAAGCTCCGACCACATTAAAGTCCAGAAAGAAGAACAAGCAAAGGGAGAAGAGCACCCGCCGGCACAGTCCGTGGCACGCCAAACTAGCAAATCGCCGTTTTCGTCAGGACACCAAGCAAAGAATACCTCCCGTCAGCCTACGTACAAGCCGAACAATACCAGAGAGCAAACTTTCCTTCCTAATGAGTACCTCGTCTCAATCCGATAGCATCGCCCCTGCCGCCGACTCCGCCGCCCAAACCGTCAACTCCCTCCTCCTCCGCACCTATGCCCTGCTCCAAACACCTCTGTCCATCCTGAAGCTTCACCAGGCTCTCAACGCCGCAGACCAGGCCCTAGCCATAGCGGCGCACTTACATCGCTTCGACCTCGAGCCCCGCGCGTACTTGTACCGCGGCCATGTCCTGAGTGCCTGGGGCCGCTGGCGCGAGGCTCACGCCGCCTACGTCCGGGCTGCCAGCGTGAGGGGGGTCGGGTTCACGGGGACAAACATCCGGGGCCTGACGAGGGACTGTCTTACGATGATTGAGTTTGAGGACGTGAGGCGTCAGAACATGAGACGCGCTCTAGAGATTGAAGGCAAAGGCAAGGATGGGTTGAAGATGGTTCGATTTAGGGATGAGGAGAATCTGGTTCTCAAAGCTTTTTACGATTATGATGATGACGATGATACTAATGACGACATTCACGACGATGATGAGACGCAATCTGAAGAGAGTCACAGTGGGCTCTATCTTATTCTGAACGGCAGCGGAGAAGTGGTCGGTAGCCGGGAGAGCCTGCCTGACCTGAGGAGTGTACGCGGTAGATCTGTCAGCAGATCGCCGACGCTATGAGTAAGGGGAGGGATAATGGTCATGACTTCGAATACAATAGTAAACATCTCAAAACGGTTGAATGTTGCTACTAAGCAGTAAACATCTGATGGATCACACGCGTTTCTCACATGGCAGCGCTTACAGCGCTTAGTAGCAACATTCAACCGTTTTGAGATAACTCAAACAATAAGTCGTTTGCCTGATCTTCCCTTTCTTAGTTGCTTTATGAGTTCGAATCATTGAGTTCTTTGACGGTATTGAGAAAGGCGCGGCATGTTCTATTTCAAAGCAAGCATGGACTCCAAAGTCTTTGTGTTCTGCGACTCCCTTGTGTCATCCTCGTGATATCTTACACCAAGCATCCAAGTGCTGCCACGATGGAGTCCCCAGAAGATGCCAGAAGATCCAACGACATCGAGGGTTGGGCCAGAAATTGATAAAATTCGGAGAGCTCTATACGTAAAAGGGTGAAGAGTATTTGATGCTTATCCTTCGTTCGACCTAGGTCCTGCTCGTGTCCTTGACTGTGACTTCACCAAATTGTCTACTTTCTGACCGACATCTAATAGAAATCACAAGGGTCATGTCGGGTAAAGGGAAGCCAACGTCGCCGACGCCCAGTGGTTCACAGAACAGTGGAAACGATGGCACGACAACCTCCTCCTTAATAACTGCCACACCAGCTGAAGATACTTCTGCTGACGCTGTACGAAAAAGATCTCAAGTGACAGCACAGACGTCCACAGCCTCCGATGAAACCTCGCCAGAGTCGGAATCGAAGCACACGACAACCTCATCGCCAGGTCAGAGCCAGAATTCACCTTCTCAACAGGGGGGGAAGTCATCGGACGAGCAAGAAGTCGGGACTGGAGGAACGAAGCCTCCTAGCGAGACAGATACCAAACCTAGACTTGGCTCAGGCGCCATCAGCTCCCTGCTATCCGCACTCGATGAAAATATCGCGTCGCCCGCCCAGGAGAAGCCCCTTGAGGTCTCAAAGGATGGGAGTCGTCAGACTCGCAATACATCTTTAGCCGCCATAATTCCAGATTCAGACATTGTCAGCCCCCTCGATCTCACGCCGTCCGTCCCTCATACACAATTCCAGCCGTCGACGCAATCACCAACAGCCACACGGCCACCCAAGAAGTACTCCGAATCGGTGGGTGAAGGCTCTCAAGACGATGAATCTAGCCCGAGTCATAAGGTTAGCGAGAAAACAGACGCTACAACTGCTGATCCTGAGCCTGAACTCGAAGCAGTCTCTAAGCGTCCCTTATACTCTTTATCAATTGAAGTAGCCTTGGACTCGCAGTCGGTGAGTGCCGTACTCGGGAAAGCAAACGGACTCTCCCCTCAACGTCCCCGTCCGATAGAGACTGCCCCGAGGGACAACGTCACTGGACATGGTAAGAACAAGGATGAAGGCGCCGATAACCATCATATTTTACCATCGGCAGTCTTACAGGAAGCGGAGCCCCTAACTTCGGGATCAGCCAGCTCAGAATCCCCTTCACCTACATCTGTGAGACCTTTGACACCGAGAGGGCTAGTGGCAGCGCGTGAGAGGGCAAAGAGAGAAAGAGAGCGCAACAGCACTCAACAAGTGATGGATGAGAGGCTACCGTATCCTGAGGACTCCATGGAATTCCCAGCGCCGAGACGTTGCCGACCAGAGTCTTCCCAAACAGTCACGTCTCCTGGGAAAACTCAAGCCCGAGATCGAGACGTGTCACCTGTATCACCAATCATCCATACTCCCACGCCAACTAGACCCGGTGACATACCAGGCTTCATGAGATCCAATGAGCCAGTCTCGCCCTCCACTCCCATCCAGAACCAACGACTGCATGGCTCCCGGTCCTCATCAACAGATACCGTAGTTCAACCTCCGCCTCCAGTTCATAATACCCAACGCCGCCGTCCGCTCCCCGCCGGTATAGGCGCATACAACAATGAGCCAGACCGCTCCGGTCCGGGCTTTACCCTCCGCCGCATCAAAGTCCCGCCCCCGGGCGCCCTAACCCGCACACACATCTTTATCCGCCCGCAACCCCTCCCCGGCGGTGAAGAGGAGCGCAGGATGATTATCCAAGCCTGGAACGACACCTTCGCGACGATGCCCCCCGAGTTCCAGACGATGCTCTCGAGCCGTCTCCGGTACCCGCGCTACACCCGCGACGTGGCGGCCCGGCTCCGCAAAGAGGAATTTGAAAAGGCCACGGGGGAGAGCATGTCCTCGGACGACTACTACGCCCTCTTCGACCTCGAGACGTCCAATGACGGCATGATTTCCGCGCTGCTGGAGTGGATGCAGGGGCGGACGTGGGTCAAGGTCCCGTTTGTGAACCGCATCATTCACCAACTCTGCCGGCTGATGTATACCTCTGCGCAGGAGGAGGCGCGGCTGCGGCTGACGTACCGACAGGATATGGACGCCGTGATGGAGAAGCTTGATGAGGTGGAGGTGAAGTGCGCGGCGGAGAGGATGCAGAGGGCCTGGGAGCAGCTGGATGGGTCTACGAGGAGGCAGCACACGTTTATCGGACAGACGCTCACGCGCAACGGCGATCACTGGGGTCACATCCCGGGCGTTGTGGTGATGAGTGGGTGTTCAAGGGACGCCAGACGTTGGGAGGCTTTCCTTGAGACGGCGCGCGTGCTCGCCCTCGATCACCAGAAGACAGAGGAGACCATTGAGAACAGAATCAACGATAGTGGGGAGATTCTACAACAAGATCTCGAACAGCTGAGCGGCATCCTCAGAGACATGGCGAAGAACAGCAGGGAAGTGAACGAGTACGTCGGGGCCAGACATCAAGGAGACCAGGTGCAGCGGATGTTCCAAATCGACAACAAGGACCTGGTCGATTCTCTCAGAATCCTTGACGACCAGGTCAACCGTGACAATGAAGAGCGTAGGTCTGCCGTCATGGCCTTTACCAAGATCGCGACGCAGCGGTTGGAGGTGCGCCAGAGGTATGCTAGCAGCCTAGACTATGCCGCGCAACACGCTCGCGAACCTACTATGCTCGCACCGGGCTTCCAGCCGCAGCCGCCGTCAGAGAGACTCGGGAACCATCCGCTGCGTTCAGCTCCCAACGAAATGAGGCTCAGCGTTCCCGTGGCGAGCATCCCATCAGAGGCGCCAGCATTCGCAACCACCTCACGGCAAGAAACCCCGCCTCCCCGTGATGGGGTCAGATTTGTCTTGAGTCCCAGAGGCAGCCAGGTCGTAGAGTTCATGGACACGACGGTACCTCCTGAGCCAAGCCCCGTCTTCACAGATCCCTTTAGTAAAACCTGGAACAACCTCGATTTGGCCGCGGCAAGGCCGGAGTGCCTGCGATGTCCCACGCTGGAGCGGGAGATCAGCGCCAGACTTGCAGAAATCAAGGACTATTGCCGCATACTAAAGTACAGATTGGATGAGAAACTGAAGCTCGAGAGTGCGCTCGAAGCCGTGAGTTTCCGCGAGATCAGAGCAGCGATGGAAGCTATTCACAACTACAAGAAGCTTATGGATCGCCCAGAGGTGCCTGAGTCTCTGCAGTGTATCGTGGACCTGCTGGAGATGCATGGCAAGCGAGTATCCGATCAGGTCGGCTTGCTGAATATGTCCCTTCAGCTGGGGCAAACTGGCGATTCGACGGACAAGATGCTAGCAGAAACAAGGACAACGATTAGGTCTGTTAAACGACTAGCTGACGCCATCCTCGAACTCAAATCACAGATGGCGCTCTACCTCGAGAAACCCTTTCCCAAGGTAGGCGACCAATCTGGCTCCGGCGAGAACGAGGCCCCAGAGAATGAAAAACAAACACGCTTGATAAAGTCACTGCAAAGACAAGTCCAAGAGTTATCAGAACGGACCAAGCGTACTCTGGAGCAGCAGGCGACAGAGAAGCTTGAGCTAGCGCGCAGGGTAGAGTCATGCATGAAAGAGGAGAGAGATCGCCTTAGAGAACAGGTTCGCACTTTCCAGAGCAAGCTTGATATGCAGGCCGAGGCTCAAGAGCGTGATTCGAATACGGAGCAGACCGTGTCGGACAGACTCAGAGAACTCAACAGAGAACGGGAGACGCAAGAGACAGAACTTCGCAATCTCGAAGCCCAGAATAACGCTCTGGAGGAGCAACGTCTAAAGACCACAGAGAAGCTCGCGGCTTTGGAGACGGCCAAGGAAGAGAGCCAAAGCGAACTGGCAGAACTCGCACGACAAACCCAAGAGCTTCAGATTAAGCTTCAAGCTAAGAGCGAAGCGTTGAAGTGGACATCGTACATGACTGTTCCCAGGGCTGTGGATGACGCCAGCTCTGATGCTCAACAAGGGAACAGAGCTTCTCAGCTGCGGACAGAGCTGATATCTGCGCTTGGCAAGGCAAGGTCGGATTCATATCGCATATTTGGAGACCAACAAACGAGGAAGGCTCTGCCAGATATCATACAGAGTGTCCTATGGCCCAACACCAAAGCAAAGGAGGGCATCAACGCGGATGTGCCCAACTTCTGGAGGCTAGCGGAGTTCGTGAGAAGGAGAAAGGAAATCATAGCAGCACTCGGACAGAGGGATTCGCACAGCTTGCAGAGAGCATTCAACTTGCTTGAAGTGCTCCACGAGTGGAATAGCGACTTGGGCGCTTGGCAGACAGAAGCGCAATCAGCAGAGGTCTGGCGGTCCATCAATCTCCTCAGATCGTACACCAATCTTGAGCTTGGAAAGGTCGAAGGGCTCGAGGCTAATGCCTCAGAGAGGCGCAAGGTCGCTGGGGCATTGCTCGAGCAGGCGGCGGCTTCTGAAGACGCAGAAGAGATCAAGAAGCCATGGAGTTCCTTGCAGAACAGTCTGGAAGTACAGCTGAACGGAAGTGCTGACGACGCTCCCGCTTGCGACTGCAAGTTTAAACCTCGCCTCTGTCCAAAGCACCAGAGTAACGGTGGACTCATGTTCCATAACTTTATGGAGTCAGATGGTTCAAGGCCGGCGGAGATAGAGTTGACGCAGGAGGCGTCCGAGGTGCTTCAGCGATTTGGAGAGACGTTCAAGGTATCGTCGCCGGTGTAGGTTTGTGCGATAGCGGAGGCATCCGGTAAAGAGATTGCGTATGCGCCGACTAGAGAGAGTTCTGCAAGAGGAGGATGATCTGCACAAGTGTTTTTGATGTCGGGTTGGCCCTAGAAAGGAGCAAATGAGAGTGCATACCAGGTGCTCGTTTGTTTATCACCGTCGATTTGCTATCTACAAAGCCTTGGCTGCTATCGCCGCGTGCTGTTAGTTCCTTGTTTCAATGCTGAGACCCTGTTTCTCGAGGTAGAGTCGAAAGGTGAAGTGGCGTTTGTCTCTGTCTCTGTCTCTGCATCCGCGCGGCCAGCTGATTCATGTGTTTCCCCGTTGACCAGGGCAGCGAAGTATGTTGATGAAGGCGGCCTTGAGCGAACGTTGGAATCTGCCAATGACAAATGCGGAAGTGTGTGTCGTCTAGGTTGACGTCGGTAGTGGTGGGCAGGCGAGTGAAGTCAAATTGATGTCGAGGAAGCGGATGGTGGGGCCGGGAGGAGGGAAATGGGGGGTTTGAGATTACCAGAAGTTACTGGGATACTACCGTCTAGAGCCTTGGCATCGCGGCAAGGGCTGTACCTTGCTATCTACTCCTCCAAAGTCCTTTCCTCGTCTAGCGTAGTTACCCGCGCGGGTGGATTGTTCACCACACCATTGCTGCGTTGCATTCCTCTCCTCCTTCTCTTCTCCGGGCTCCCTCTTCGTGACACTGATACCAACGCATCTACGCCCTGCTGCCAATAGGTCTAACATGACTCTTCCTCTCGACTCAGCCTTTTGCGCCTCTCCCGCTTGTATGTTCAAACCATAGGTCAACTCAATTCGATCCACCCTCAGCAATACCAGACCAGACAGATCTGGATCTTGTCTCGGGAACGGCATGTCCACGAGCCTCAACCTGCGTCGCCAGCGCGCACGTCAACTGTCTCAGCCCAAACGTGGACCTGGAATGGTCAAGGGGTGTGGCTTTCTCATCACTCAAAGATGATGTGAGTGGCACGCAAAGGCAGGCACGATCTAGGCACATCATGCTTAGCTGCATCTGTTGTGATGGAGGCACCTTTGGGCCCTGGCACCCAACGAAAACGACTGCATTTTGGCGTGCTTCAGAACCTGCCGCTTCCCATCGTCTCCGCACTTTCACCTCACATCACGACTGAGAACACGTGGATAAGCAACTCTGTACACCAGATAACGAGTGAATTGTTCCGGAAAGTGACAGCTCAAGAAGCAACGGAAGCACCAGGTCCATGACGCCCAAGAAAGTCATCGGTAATCTGCTAGCCTTCTAGACGGAATTGCATCGTTCCGGATCCGGCTCATCGCTTGCCCTCCGGTATGGTACGCGTGGATTCGAAGGGCAGCGGCTGCTTTCACCAAGACATTTGTCTTTTGAAGATGAATCAGAGCTCTACCAAGGCTACCAGACTATCGGAGCCAGACGCACGAGCGAGAGAAACGGGCAAGTCGTTACGCGACAAAAGTCTGGTACACGCGATGCTACGCAAATGAGCACGATACAACGGCATCCTGGCCTCGGAGCAGCTATTTGCCCGCCCACTCTAGCTAGACGGCTTGGGCAGTGTCACCGACCGAAAGCCTACCTCATGCCATTCGCCGCCGCCATTTACAACAGATTGATTAGATTGCTTTACCTGGCCCAATCTCATTGGACGCCCTCGCCGGTTGACTTTGACGTACATCCAGGCTGTCGCTTCGAGTTGTATGTACGGAGGCAGTCTTTGCCCTTCTGACGCGGCGCGCGCGGCTGCTTCCGGCGATGGCGGCAACGAGCACCAGCCAGCGGTGCAATGTGACGAGTCTAAGCTGGCTGGAAGCACACTTTGGCCAGCCGCGTCGCGTCACATCACACTGAGAGTTCTTGACGGACTGTCAAACTACGGATAGAGGTAGACGACGATGAGTGTAGTCCAGCACTGGCCAGGCCAGGTCCACGCCACTCACTTCATGTCCCGTCCTCCCGCGCTCTCCCGTCAGGCCCTGGCACATCTAGTTCATCCCGTCCCCGGAGGCGGCGTGTAAGTCGAGGAAACCCCCACTGGAACGGTGCCGTTTCCAAGCGAAAACACGAGGCCTGTCAAGCAAGCCCTTGACGACTTATCCTCTCGGGGATTAGACGCGGGTGGACTATGGTGAAGATCACTACTAACGGATCACGGCCTAATGCAGCAAGGTCAGGGGGGACCAGGGTTACCCTTTTAGCAGGTGACTTTGAGGAGGTCGACAAGATTTGCTGCTGACAAGACATTCCAAGGATCTCTCTCACAAGGGATATTTGGGCTCGAACTTGTACCCGAAAAACACGGCCCGTACGAGGGCCTTTGCAGTAATGTTTCTATCCCATCTAGGCAAGTCAATCTATCTGCAAGATGCAGATAGGCACGTTGATACCAGAGCTCCACACTGAATGCTACTATCTGGATGCATTTTGGAGCCGGAAGCCTGGCTTTCACTCAGCCCTCAGCCCTCGGCCATGACAGTGTCTGGCTTGTGAGGCGGACTCTGTCTCTCCTTGGCGTTGTCTCGTTTCTTTTTGTGGTTTGGCTCGATTTACCCAAATTGTGTCAACAACCCCCGTGCTTCCGTCTTTGGCTGTGTACTGTGTAGCGAGGCCCCGTAGACAACGGTGGGGTCGAGAGGCTGTCCATCATAGGCGTGATGGACCACTCTACTTTAACCTCAACGAACTCTGCTTGCCTGCCCTTTGCTTGCCTTAGTATGTATCCTACACAAAAGTACCTCGTCTATGGATCATTATCTTTTCTATCGCAACGCAAAAGAAATGTAGAGTGCTTTGTCAAGCTGACCAAACCAAAACAGCTAGTCCAGGCTCTACGGAGCTAGACCTTACGGCCCTTTCTGTTTCTCAAATTCTCGTAGGGGAATCCATCTTAATCTAGATCCACGATCTGTGAGACCTTCCCTAGCAAACAATCTCCCCCGTCTTTTCTTCTCGCCTCCCTTCCCGCTTGCCGCTGCCCAAGCTCCCCTCCCGCCCTGCTGCTGCACCTGCTCCAGCTGCGGAGAACAAGATGGCGTGAAAGTTACACCGGCTACCGGCATCGAAAAGGACACTCATCGAAGATGGGGTTGGCCATCTTGTCATTGGGCATTGGCATGGAGCGGCGATATGTGTCCACGTACGGTGTTTGAGCCCTTTTACTCAGCGGCCGTACGACGCAGCTATCCAGGAACGGCTCGAGGCTCTCCACATGAACCAAGGCTTATTATTTTCATGCTTGGCATCCTCGAGTCTCGAGGCGGGATGAGGGAGATGTACCTACCCTACCGTATGAGAGGGGAAAGTCCCTGTTTTCCTCTTCTTGGCCAAAGCCAGGGACTTGAACAACGGATCGACTTATCTGGGGAACGTGGCGCTTGTCTCACATGGATGTTTATGGAGCTGGGAAATCGGTCTCTGGTATGCACAGGTCTTTGGGACCGCCGTTGTGTGAGTGCGTTGTAAGCAAAGCAACATGAGAGGGTCAACAAATTGAGAGAGGGTGCCATGTGAAGCGGGTGGCCGGCCGCGAAGAGAAGGTCTAGACTGGATACACAATCCGACGGCTATCATTGCGACATTCTCATCGGGCAACCTTGGGCTGATTGCTCTCGAGTCTAACGGTGATACCCTCCCTCACCTTTCTTATCTGGACGTTTGCCCTTCTATCTGAAGTCCAGCTACGATCAGGAAAGGAGGGGATGATCAGAAGAAAAAAATAAGGGTGAGTGGGAGAAAAAGCCACGCGGGTCAAGCCACGGGAACTACGTCGGTAGACCGCATTCATCCAAGGACAGCATGTAAGTGGGGGCGTGCGGACGACTTGTGTAAGTTCACGTATGAGTTACATACAGCGGCAGGACTCGACGCCTTTTTTCAGAGTTTCTCAACGCCCCTCCTCTTCATCAGATACATCTCAATAGTACTGGATGTGGGACGGGCAAGAAATAAGGTAGGGAGGTATAGAAAGAAAAAGAAAAAGCAAGGAAGGTACGCTGTAGGGAAGGAACCAGGTAGTAGCAACTCCTTCCTAGATAGATCCGCTCTGCCAAACTTTACAGTCTCATAATATTCAGGGTTGGTTTTTATTTTTGTTTCTTTCTACTTGACCCTACCTTATAATGAGATCGATTCTAAGCCACAAGGGTGGGATGAATCTAAAATTTTGAGGAAGGCACGACCTGGACTGTGTACCTGACCTCCTTCCCTACCTACCCAATCTACCCGGGCCAACCTCCACCACCACTCCCACTTGGTCCCCCCCTCCTTCACACACATTCACCTCACCTCGATATTATCTCCGGTACACAACGCTTCACTTTATTCTTCCTCGCCCTCCACCGCTCCCGCTTGCCGCAAACGGGAGTCTTCCAAGTTTTTTCTACTTTATCCACACCTCCTGCTGCCGCGTCCCGAGCAAGCATTTCTCTTCATCACAATACTCTGAGACCCTCCGCGCCATTCTTATCAACGAGGGTTCTTTCACACCGTCGTCGTCTACACATCATAACAATACCTTCTTGTTATAAACTTGGCACATTCCCGCTTCTCATCCTTCCTTTTGGTGCACTTCAACTCACGACGACAACCTTGCCCACCGCGCTAATCCTCCATCCCTTCTACAGACTGCGAATAGCCTCACATTGCTCATCCCGACTACGCTCAAAAAATGGCTGGAGGTGCTAGCGGCCCCTCAGCTTACCCTTTGCTCTTCGCAAAGCGGACCAAGCTGAACCAGGAGGCGACGATCTACTTCGCCATCGCCCTGGCTTCTATCATGGGCCTCTTCATCGTCTTCCATCTTGGTCGTCGTGGTGCTTCAAAGGCTGGTCTTGGTACGAAGCTATCTGGTCTGGCACAGCCGTTTCTCTTCGTGTCTCGGTAAGACTCGAGAAAAAAAATTAGCTTGTACTTTATCGCATAAAATTACTGACCACCACATAGATCCATCCGAAGAGTCACCGTCTACAAGTTCCCTGCCCTG